TGCGTGTGTGCGTGTGTGTGTGCGTGTGTGCGTGTGTGCGTGTGCGTGTGTGGGTGTGTGTGTGTGGGTGTGTGTGTAAGCGTAAAGTGGAAACAATAAAAATATGTTCCACCTATACAAAGGTTACATTCAAAATATATTACAAAATGAATGATGTAAATTTAATATATAATAATTTCTCAGTGTAAGTTAAATTTTTTTGTATTTTATTTTTCTATTCCTCTTGGATTCCATCCAAGAAGACAGCTTGAGAAGTATGATTTGGTGTACCATTATACTTGGATTTTGTCCCTTCAACATCATTAAGCATGAATATGATTGTGATTAGGTTTTCATTTTTTGGCCCTTAATCAACATATAAAATTAAAAATAATTATTTTTTCCTTAGGTAAAAGGATGCACATATGCAATTCATCTTAGCATGTTGGTTCATGGCTTAGTCTTTCAATCAATTGGTCATGAGTTCAGGAGCTAAAAAAATGCACATGTTTACAGAAATTTAGAGGTGAAATGAATTTCATATGATGATAGCTTAGACCTCTAACAATATAACTATTTCTATTTTAACTGATTTTCATTATTATTGTATTAGAAAACTATCTGATTAACTCACATTTTTAAAGTCTATGCTCCATAAAATTATATTCATAAGGGTGCATCATGAGAGAGTCACAATGCATAACTAAGATGGAGTATAATTAATTTTATTAAATAAAAGGTATTAAAAAAACTGAAAAAAAATAATATTAAGAAAAAAACTGCAAAGAAAAGTTCTCTAATGTTTGCATGATCATTTTTGGAAATAGCAAATGTTTTAATGTAAATTTGCAAAAACAGAAAAGACTAGTTAGGGGTATATTTAGTTGGGTTTTGTTTAGTTTGCTCATTTGATGAGTTGTAAAAAATCAATTTGTTTTGAAATTTTGTTCTTAAGAAATTAATCGAAGGATGAAAATCTGCAACTATTTCATAAAGTAACTTTATTAAATTTCTCAACCTCTTTTATGTAGAAAACAAAAACCCTAACTGGCTTCTCTGTGAGAGAAAAGTGTCTAGCAAATGAGTTCAGAAGGCCACAAGGCTTATGAAAGATAGCATATCCTTGTCATTCAAGGTAATATCACTCAATATAATATTATTTTGTCTAATTATCAGGCTTGATTCCCTTAGTTCAGGGGTCTGTCAGGAAGCCGATTGTCTTCATAATTCGGGTGAGCGGAGGGACGTGAATCATCCCTTCTCTCAACTTGTCATCTCGGGAGGAGGGGGGGAGGTTTCCTTTTTCCAAACAATGGATGGAAGATTTTGCTATGGAGAAAAAGCACAACTGGAGTTGTAGTCCTCGACTGATATATGATTGTTGGCTAGCTCCAACAACTCGGCAAGGCCTTTGGTCGCTGTTGGCCTATATCATACCATAATGGTCCTTCTTTTAGCCCTTATACAAGGACATCATGTGCTACCATGGGTTTTAGATCACACATCTCCTTCTGAAATTGAGTGATGAATGAGCAAAGGCTCTTGTTCTACCCTTGTCGACTTTTGGGCACTCATAAATTGAATCGCAAACATCACTTGAAGTCAAAAGATGAGGTAATCACTCTCAAGAGAAAGCCATTGAATCACCTGAGAGTCAACTCTCTCAGCGTGGTGAAGAAAAGATGGCTGCAAACATATAATCAACTTGAAGGAGGCTATGTGGTAGGTTGGATCGGTCTGACCCTTGTAAGATTTCAGTGTAGGGATTTTGATCCTCTATGAGAGTTTGACCTTGGCGATTTGCTGAAAGAATTCAATCTTCAGATGACAGGGCATCTCAGTGCGCTCGAACCACTGTGCATCATTAGCACCGACCAAACATTGTCAAAGTATTGGGAATCTCCTTCAATTTCCAAGACTAACGGTGCCCTTAAGCGGTTCGACTTCAACCCTTCCTCTCGGGGGTACTGTGCCCTTCCCTAAGCCAATGCCTCTCGGATGGCATCCAATATCTGATCCTTCAACTCATGGATTTGTTTGTTTATAGGTTCTTTAGTGCACTCCATATTGACAGTGTCGCTGTTGTGGTCTTCTTCTCCGCGAGCTACTGCTTTTCTTATATGTGGTATGTTCTAGACTCACCACACCTTTTAGAATGTTGAAACTTGATCTATTTGTGAATCACACATCAAGGGTTAGAGCATAAGACAAGAGAGAGAGCGACAAAGAGTAATGCATAGTAATGAATAGTAAAATGTATTTTTTCCATTAACACCTTTCTCATAAAATGATCCCTAAAGGGTCACAATCTGTGAAGTTACATGTTTGCCTCTACTTTAATGGTATTTTAGGTATTTTGCATGTATGGGCCTACCCTTTGACTTAGTCGGCTAAGCATCCGCTTATTTGGCTATGTTGAGTCAAGATTGCCGATCAACCTTTGATTGATTTTGGGTCAGAAGGATTGACTTGATTGAATTGAATTTAATTTCCTGATCGACTGATCTGGGTCTGATTGTCAACTATCGATCCTTGGTTAGGATCCAGTTGGCTGAGCGATGGTAGGCTATTGGGAATCACTGTAATCAAATATGTATCTCACTCCCCAACAAGAAGAGCCAGGGGGATGCTTTAGGTTTCTTGTGACATAGTTGCATTTCGATCCTAGATAATGAACCTCTCGGGTGTCCAATATGTATCTCACTCCCCAACAAGACGAGCTAGGGGGATGCTTTAGGTTTCTTGTGACATGGTTACATTTCGATCCTAGATAATGAACCTCTCGGGTGTCCTTAGGATGACATATAGTAACGAGGAGCGAGTCTTTCCTGATTAGATTCAAACTCAGACCATCTGAACGTCTTTTGTATTGTAGACTTTGGCTCGGATGACTTCATCTGGTCGACTTTGGCTTTGGTTTGGATTGCTACGTCAAGTGAAATAAATAGGCCTCCCGATCTACTGCTGGCAGCCTCTTCATAGTTCTACTTATTTTTCACCTGGACTATTGGATCTCCTTGAGATTCATGCTAACACCTTCCCGATGTACATATATATAAGAGTAAAGTGACAACAATAAAAAAAAAAAATTGCACCTATACAAAGGCTATATACAGAAGTCTCTAATGCTGCATTATCATTTTTTGAAACCACCACTTATCATTGTTTCATGCTCATGAAAGATAGCATATCCCTGTCCTTCAAGGCAGTGCGTCACTCAACAAAAACCTTACTTTGCCTTAAACTAGCTTGCAAATTACTCCCTAACTCAATCAGATGAAGCCTTACAACCTAATTTATTTCATATGCAAAATGCGTTCTTAACATTTATGTGACCCAGAGTTTGAAGAAAGACATTATCATAAAAGAACGCACTTCCTCTAATGGAAGACAGCTTGTCACCTTATTTGAAGGCTACATTTTAACAAGAAATATTTTGATTTGAACACTGACATAAACGTGTGTATTAATTAGTTATAGAGCATTCAAAGTATTTTCGAATATAAATTTGTTTATTACTAAATCAAATAAAGGAAAAAGAAAAAGTAGGGGATGGCTCATTCAACATGTGAAAAATTTTGTGTTAATTTCTGACGAGCTTTCGATGGTACAAAATACTCGATTGTATTTTGTTAACACGCATTGAGAGTTAGAGCCGAGTGAATAAAAGAAAAGAGAGTAGAGCGAATCGAGATTTTATTGTTGAGGGAAACCGTGGGTGGGGGAGAGCAAGTCTATACCTTTTATTCTTATTTTTATCTCTTATTTATAGGAGTGTATTTTGTACAATTACAAGGAGTGAACAATTATAGAAACAATTCCTAATATGAACAATTATGGAAACCATATCTGTAATACAATGTGAATTTTCAACTTGATAGTAATTGATTGGGTTGATTTGTCTAAGTTTGGCTGATTGAGGCGGTCGACCAACCAGAGACTATGCCTTCTGAAGTGCGTGTTCGGTCAGTCGAGGTGCTTGGTCATATGTCGATCTCGCTTGCCGCGGGTCAATCGGCCAACTACGATCGGGTGCTCCTGTATCCCCTTTGAG